AATGCTGCTTCTTCCTCAGGGATGTGTTCTGGGTCTGTATTCTGCTCCCTTGTTTCTACCACTTTATCCTGCTTCTTTGTGTGGACTGTGATGGTCTATTGTCTCCAAGGCATCATGGTCTTGTTGTATTTAGATGTCTGTTAACTCTTTGTGAAGAGCAGCCAAGGATGATTCATCTCTTCTTGGTGGTTTTTTATCATTGGCCCGTTGGTGGATAAGGAGGTAGTGGCTCAGTAAGTGAAGTTGTAGGAGGTGTGGGTGTAGTTGTGTCTTATGGGGACTGTTGTTGTTTCCCACTCAATTAGACACAAATTACAATAGAATAACCATCAAAAAACTAAAAGCCCATGGACAAAAAACACACCATGTAATCACACAGGAACAGTAACCAAAAAGGGAAAATAAAGAACCTGGGAGGGGGAACTTAAGAATAATAGTAAAAAGGACAAAAGTATTAATAATAATAGTTGTTTTAGAACAGACAAATACAAGCAAACTAATCACCAGAAAAAAGAAAACAAAAAAGAAAAAAATAAATAAAGAGAAAATAAATGAGTGGAGGACAGGGCATGGCACCCAGGCTCTGTTTGAGCACACAGACTGTGATGGAGTTCTTGTGGGCCCAGAAGGTAGGTGGGAGTGGGGGATGGCCACACCTCCATTCACCAAGCAGGTGTGGGGTATAAGAGTGAGGAATGTGGTACCTTTTCAGTCTTGCAGGTCCAGAGTGTCCTTGGGGTTGCTGGAAAGCAGAACGTGTTCTTAAGCCCCAGGAATCTGTGAGAGCACTGTCTCTTTAAATATCCAAAATAGTCAAGCTTCTTTTAAACCTTCAAAATGGCAGAAGTCCACAGGTCAGCCCATCTTTCTCTTCACCTTCTCTATTTATTTCTCAGCCACCACAGCAGTCCTCTGTGCAGTCCCTGGCTATCAGGGCTGATTTTTAGGTTAATTATTAGGTCCTACCATTTCTCGGGACTCTCCAAGCTGTCTGTGTCATCAGGATTGCTCAGGATCACTGCCAAATTGCAGCTCTGTATGTCTCTTTTTTTGTATTTTCACACAAATTTTTCTGCTAGTTGGGATTTAGTCTACTTCTATATCCTTCCCTTCAAGGCTCAGGCATCCAAGATTATCTCTTTGTTTGTGTTAATTGGTTTCCTTTTTCTTTATTGAAGAGGGTCTGTGTAGTCTTTCTGCCTAGTCCGCCATTTTGCCAGAAATCCCTGTTTGTAATTTTTTATGATTTGTTCAGTTTCTTCTGTTAGGGCCTATTCAACTTTTCCATATCAGTCTGTGTTAGTTTAGGTAAGTAGTGTGTTTCTAGAAATGTGTCCGTTTCTTCTAGGTTTTCAAATTTGATAGAGTTCAGTTCTTTGTAGTATCCCGATATTATCTTTTTTAATTTCAGTTGGTTCTGTTGTGATGTCCCCCAACTTAATTCTTATTTGTGTCATTTGTATTCTCTGCCTCTTTCCCTTTGTTAAATTTGCCAGTGGTCTGTCAATTTTCTTAATCTTTTCAAAAACAGCTTCTTGTGTTGTTGATTTTTTCTATTATCTTTCTATTTTCTGTCTCATTGGCTTCTACTCAAATCCTTATTATTTCCTTTCTAGTGGTGACTGTAGGCTTTTCTTGCTGTTCTTTTTTTGAGTTGCTGGAGATGGTGGGTTAAGGTGTTGATTTTGGCTCTTTCTACATTTTTGATGTGTGCCTTTATTGCTGTAAATTGTCCTCTGACTGATATTGCTGTGTCACAAAGATTTTGGTGTGTTGTGTTTTCATTCTCAATTGATTCAAGGAATTTTTTAATTTCATTTTTTATTTCTTCTATTAGCCAGTTATTCCGTTTCCATGTATTTGCTCTTTTTCTGTTATTCCTCCTATTGCTGGTTTCTAATGTTATACCATTGTGATCTGAGAGGATGCTTTGCAGTATTTCAATGTACTTAATTTATTAAGTCTTGGTTTATGACCTAACTTGTTTGGCTGGAAGCCACAGGAGTGGGTTCAATTTCAGTCCTATATTGCAGCTATGGGCCATAGTCTCAAGGGTTCCAAGAAAGGAAATATGCTGACATTGGGGGAGACCTGTCTTTGGACCCTCTTTAAAAAATATGAACATTATTGAGTGCTTATGTTATAGTTAAGAGTGGACACAGAATACTCATCAACAGATAAGCTTTACTTTTCCTTACATTGGACTTCAAATAATTTCCATTTTTCTTGAGGTATGAAATTCTGCAAATCTTTTAAGATGACTCAGAGAAAAATAAACAGGAATGAATGTCTTTCTCTTGATTCTAGAATAATAAACATGACACTGGACTATAACCATGTTTGCAAGTTTATTGTTAGCCCCATCATCCAGGCACAATCCTGCCTATCTTGGGGCCAGTTCTGCAGACCACACATTCTCATCAGTGGTGTTAGTCCTACATCCACAGAGTCCGGTGTCATGTTTCTGTCCATAGATGAACTTAATGGTGATGGACAGATAATCTCCCCTCATCAGAGCTGTGTTCACTCTGCAAACTAGTCCTAGTGTATCATGTATAGGCAGGTGACATTCAAGGTGGATGATGCTTGGCCCCTACCTTGGAGGGCTTCCATGTCCACAGCTGGAGAGGAGGAGTGGCCATGGGAGGTGGCAGGAAGGGAATGCTCATGGGAAGCAAAAGGAATAGAAATAGGAGGCTCAGAGCTGAATGGGGTCAGGTAGTGGAGAGGAAGAATGTCAGCCAAAGCCCAGAGCTGCGTGATCTCCTCGGTTGGCCTCAGAGGAGTTCCCAGGCCTGGAAAACAAGAGAAGGAATGACAGTGGACTCAGTGTCTCCCCTCCCTGCTGCCATGTGATGCCATAATTCACTTTGGAGGTCTTCTTTCAGGCCTAAAAGCTGGTCCCAGCTCTTGTCAGAATAGCTCCACAGTCTGGTCCTTCTCCCTAACCTGACCAGGGCTGAGAGCGCCCTGGGAGTGGTGTGGTCACCAGGGCTGCCTCTATTATGAAGCTTACAGGCAGAATGTGAGTCCTACCTCATGAGAGCACAGTGAAGCCTCAACCCTACAGGGCTCAGCATCACATATGCCCTCAGGAAACCCTGGGCTGGCTGACTTGCACACCTGACTAGTGGAAGGTTGCAGAGGGCCCACTGTTTCTGAGCCTCAGCTGAAAACACTGGCTACAGGAAACGACAAGGGACCCCACGGCTAGGCACTGTGTGCTTATTGGGAAGCAGGTGTAGTGCTGACTGCAGATTGTGGGTCATTTTAAATCGGGTGTGAGATATGCACAGCCCCATGTACAGCCCGACTTTTGGTTTATGCATTTACTGCAACAATTCCAGGAAATGACACAGGTTGGGTTCATGGCCACCACCTCCAAATGATGTCCTGGTCTGTAGAATACAAGGGGGAACTGAGGGAGGAGACTTTATTTTCAGTGGCACAAAAGGACTGTTGCAGGTGTTGTCTGAGCTGTGCAGACAGAGGAAGATATGAGCATTCGTGCATGCTGTTTGTGTAAAAGTTGAAGTTCCAACACAGCAGAAGGCAATTACACTTCATGGCATCCCTACT